AACAAGGCACAGATCCCCGCTGAGACACCAGCAACACCAATACCGCCAAGACCACCAACACCAGCACCAAGACCACCAAGACCAGCACCAATACCAGCACCAACACCAGCACCAAGACCACCAAGACCAGCACCAACACCACCGATACCTGATCACGCACCCTGGCAGCCCTCCGCGCTCTCATGTCGCATTTCAATAAGATTTACAACCATCAGCTGCTCGGAGAACGCACGACGCGGACAGCGGAAGGCGCGCAGCAGTGCGGCATCAGCGGCGGAAAACACGCAGTCAGTGCGGGAGTGAGAGAGGAGGAGAGCAGAGCCGATCCAGGAGCTCACTGCGTCCGGATCCTCGGCGGGTTTCTTACCAGTACAGCAGCTTGTTGTGCAGGATCGCGGGGGTTTTGTCCGAGGCGCAGTTGATGCACCACATTGTTGCTGCTGCTGATCAACGGCGCCGCAAAGACAGCGACAGAGAGAGAGAGAAAGAGAGAGAGAGAGACAGGTGAAAGAGAGAGAGAGAGACAGGTGAGAGAGAGATAGAGAGCGACTATTCAGTGCTGCCTCAGCCTCTCTCTCCTGCTCCGTGTCTGCCTCTCTCCACCCCTCTCTCCCTCCCTTGCTCTTCGTCAGAAGCGCATCATCTTCCCTCCTTCCTCCCCTCCTCTCTCTCTCTCTGTATTTTATGTTTATCCTCCCTGTTTTTTTCACCTGAACTCCTTCAAACTTCAGACTGAGTGTCCTTCCTGTCATTATACTGTATTTATTCCCTGTCTGTCCATCCTGGGGGAGGATTCCTCCTCTGTTGCTCTTCCTCAGCTTTCTTCCATTTTTCTTTGGGGTAATTTTTCTTTATCTGAATCAAGGCTGTCATTTAGTTCACACACTGTGAAAGCGCTTTAGGATAGTTTGTGATATTGGGCTGTATAAATACAATTGATCTGACTTCCCCTGTTATTATTAATGTGCCTCCACTAAGTGCAGATTGTTCAGTGAACTTTTCAGCTAACAGATTTCCCTTTTTGAAATCTCGCTCTCTACCTTTTATAAATACAGGGGAAATATTATTTTTTCAAAATAATAAATGGAAAAACTTTATTACCGTTTCCTGATTTTAGTTTTCTCATTTCAAAACAAAAATCCAGTGCTGCAAAGTGTCGGACCCGGTCATGTTCCTGTGAGGCCCCTGGGCACATGTCTTTTGGAGGCCCCCAAACCATGAAAATCTGATATCATTGCAACCACAGTATGTATTAAGGGACCCAGGTGTAACATTTGATGTAAGCACTGTGCAGCCTGGGGGGCTCACACTTTAAGGACTGAGAGGCACAGAAGCACATTTTAAGCACCAAGGGGTTTGGGGCCCCTCACAAGCGTCATGTAGACTCGCCGCTGCCGACCTGTTGCGCGACAACATTGGCGTCACAGGAGCGCTGTAACTATTTATACTGTCGCGGGTGTCGCCGACACTAGTTGCCAGTCTTCTTCTGAACAGACGGTGGCGCAACTGAGCAAAGGCTGCCGACTTTGCTTATTTTAACACACTATTTTTTTTTTTTTTTTTTTTTCGAAGAAGGAAAAAGGTAAACAATGGGCGACCTCTTTTTCTCTTCCAAATTTTCGGCATAATGGCCTCCTCTTCTCTCTGTGTTCTTCATTGAATGATCGTACAGATGCCTGTAGAGGCGCACTTGCTCAGAAAGCTTTCTGTTTCCGGTTCCGGCAATTCTTATTTTCAGGTGATTATACACTAATAAAAACATACCCTATTATATGTTATATATATATTTATGTTAATAAGGACCTAAAATTCTTAAAATTGAAATATTCAATTTCTGCCAATAGATCCTCCTAAATGTTACACACTGGACCTTTAAAGGGCAACTCCAGCAATTTAGTCCAGCACTTCCATAACGTTGGGGACTTTGAAGAAACATTCTTTTTTTAAAAAAGGTCAAATCTGAGCAGCAGAAGCTGAGATATCCTGACATTTAGGAGGCAGTCAGAGCAAACATGGCAGTGCGTTTTGGAAAAAGCCAAAGGCTGCGTGTGTTTACATGAACATGTCGCTGCTTCAGGCGCTGACGAGAGGAAATGCAAAGCAGGAACGGCGGTTTGAACAACAGATCCATGAGTTTGCATGCTCATCAGACAGCAGACGGCAGTTTATGACACAGTGCGTCAGGATTTTACAGCTGTGGAAATTACAGATCAAACAGAAACACTCTGTAATCTGCAAGAAATGTGTGTTTGCACGTATATGATTGGTCAACAGTGCTTCGCCCCGTGATGTTGCATTGTGTCGTACAAAAGTGGAGCTAGGTACAGTGATTACTCTGCACTGGAAGTCCCGTTGCGTCAACACGCAGCAGATTCATAAAATGTATGAGCAGAGTTCTAGTGAATGGAGTCTCCTTTACTTTTCATCACCAGCAGCTTCAAAAGCTGTAAGGAGGGCAGTTCTCTCCTTCTGCTGTCTCTCCTTCAGAGTCCAGAACAGCAGTCAGAGCTAACCAGCCACGAGCAGCTGCTGTCAGACTCTCCGTGTCCGCGCTGGGAACTGAGCGTCTGCTGGAGCTTTACAGTCACTAGAAGCACATTCAAGTTTCTGTGTGCTACAGTGGTGAGTTAATAAATAATTATTTGATGACTGAACTGTCTGGGCCACCGGAAAATCAACGGGATACACTTGGATGCGTTTGTCTGCCTCTGTCTCTTTCTTCTGCAGTTGTCCACTATTTTCAGGTGAGACAAAAGTAATGAGCACATTTAAGTTTCAGTAATTATAGCTGCATTATTTAATTTGTAAATGTAATTCATTTACATTATAAGTTAATGCCATTTCTCAAAGCTCAAAGACACAGAAGACATTATACAGCTGTTTTTACGGCGAATCCATGACAGAACTGTGAAGTGACCCTTTAATCGACCTCAGTATTGTTCATTCTCTCAGCTCCTCAGTAAACACGAGATATTGACCTGTCACCTAAGCTAACAAGAAAACCTGGAGTCACTAAATTCAGCTATGTGAGGCTTAAATGTCAATTATTTTGAAGGGGTGTTTGTCCCACTCCCTCGCTCTATTGTTCTCTACCCCCCCCCTCCATAAATTGATAAAGCTCAGTATTGCCAAAGCTTCAGTAGTGATCAATACTGATAAAAACAGCACTAATGAACTCCCTCCATTCTCTCTCTCTCTCTCTCTCTCTCTCTCTCTCTCTCTGTTCAACCCTAATTTATTGGCATAGATGTCAGAAGAACAATATCAGCAGAGCCTCAGCTGCAGTCTGTCTCTCTCTCAGATCAGTTCTGAACAACATTCATCAGCAGTAGAGAGAGTATTGATCTGATAATTGTTGTACACATAAAAAGAGAATTGGGAATGATTAAACATGATTCACGGACGTCTTTATCTAAGTGACCTCATATAAATCTGAGCCTCCTATTGGCTGTGATCATGAAACAGTAATCAGCTTCATGCCCTTTGAAAGTATTACAATAACCCTACACTTACACCGCTTTAGCACCGCAATAACAGATGCAGATTTAACGAAATATGATAAATATGATTTTTGGAAAAACTGGGTCAATATTTTTAGTCAGAAACAAACAAAAACTTCTTCTCATTTTTCGCTGGCTACCAGGAAGTATTTCATCTGAAGCGACAGCTGGTGCTGGCAGATTTGATCTGCTGTAGCGAGCTAATGTAAGCTAATTAACATTAACTCTGTGAGCTGGTTGTAAACTTTCTGCTGACTCATATGAAAATCTGCAAAAGAGTCTTGAATAGCTACACATGATACCATGTTGACTCAGCGCCATGTGATAATGACAGAAGACTTAAAGACACAGTTCACCCCAAAATCAAAAATACATGCTTTAACATATCCTAATTGAGTTGCTGAGTTTTGGAGATATCGGTTGAGAGATGTCTGCCTTCTCGTGGTGCTCAAAGTGCTACAAGAAAATAAATACATTTGAAAAAATCAACAGCAATGTCTCTTTCCAGAAATCATGACCCGGTTGCTCAAGATAATGCACAGACCTTGTTGTGTGCTGTTTCATGTAAGAACTCTTTTCTTTCACTGCGCCACAGGAAGTGTGAGTCTACTCATGCATGAGAGAGAGAAACATTAACGGCGTCCCTCTTCGATCTGTAACATTAGCTAGCTCACCTAGCACCACTGAGATAGCTAACGTTCAGCTACGGTTGGCCGGTGTTTTTTTGAACTACTCAACAAAAGCGAGATGATAATGCGATTCGATACTCCTTGAAGCGTGTAAATAACTTTCTAACCCAAGCATTGCAGTTAAAGAAGTGTGATTTAGTAACTGTGCAACCTGATATTAACCTCACAGTCTGTGTTTCACTACAGGGACACTCCAGAGAACCGTGCGTTATTCAGGTTAGGAGGCTAAATCATCAAAGCTATATTAATGACGTATTCTTTAATTACAAATACAGTAGCAGATAGTATTTCCCACGGTACAGTGGTAGAATCATTTACATCCCATTATCATCCAAGATTTATCAAAGAAACCACTCATGCAAGAATGACAGAAGTCAGCCCATTATGTGAGACAGCTCTATGTATTTGTGAGGTGATAGCTACAGCATACACTTACATTTAATATTTCATAAAGCTCTGTAAGGTGAGCCAAGACATTTCTGCTCACTTTATTGACTGCAGTACGCCTGGCAGTCTGAGCGGCTGCTCATTAGCCGAGTTTTGTGAAACGACACTCAGAACGATCTGCTGAGAGTGACGGAAATACAATAACTAGAAATAAAACCTCACTCATTTGTTTCAGGTAAAGAAAAGTGAAACAGTTGGTCGTGTTTGCTGGAATCTAATGACCATGAAATGAGAATCTCACGGGCTGTCACGCTATCAAAACAGAAACCAGAAAGCGTTGTGCTTCTTCTTTCTGTGATGAGATTCTGATTGGCTGCAGAGAGGAGCTTCCCGGCTGCAGTGTGTGTGCAGCAGCAGCAGAGGGATGAGTGACAGCTGACTGCTTCGAGTGTGTCAATGATGTGCAGACGGGCTGCAGCCTCGGGGCTGCAGGCAAAGTGGGCGAAACGCCAGCGTCTCAACGACCCAAATATTCAAGCAAATTCTCCTCTCAGGCAGCGATCAATTTGAATGTGCTGAATAATTGACATCATGCAACATATATGCATTTTAGCAAAGTGTGTCGGTGGGTAAAGACTGCATATTGAGGGTTTCTGACATGAAATGTTGCGTGTTAACAGTCCTGAGTTACAGTAAAACTCAAATCAATAGAGGAACAACTGGACTGGCTGTGTAAATGGTTGATTAGGGGCAATTGAACATCCATTTATTTCAAACTGTGGGAGGTGCAATGAGCCTCACATGCGTCCAGTTCCACAAAGACTGAGATTTATGAAACAGAGCCTGAAGGCTTTACAAATCTGATGAAAAGAATGCATAAGATATTTCTTATGTCTTTATATTCACACAGAGTTTTA